AGGGCCTCGAACCTCTGACTAGTCTTACACGGTCTGCAACACCTTTTTACTCTTCTGGTGAAGTCTTCTGATGCACATAAGTTTTTAATTTTTAGTATGTCCCAATCATCTATTTTGTCTACTGTTGTTTGTGTAGTTTAAAAATGTTTGGTAGTCTGTGTATTCTCTGGATTAGTGCCCTCATATTTGTCCCTATTTTTTCATTGATTGCCTTCATAATTTGGGGATTCACATTTAGATTTTTAATCCATGTTGAGTTAGTTTTTGTATAAGAAGTTAGTTTTCAATCTTTTGCATGCCACTTTCCAGTTCTGCCAGCACCATCTGTTGAAGAGACTATCCTCTCCCCATGTGATATATTTAGGTACTTTGTCAAAAATCAGTTGGGGATTGGCTATTAGGCGCTCACCCAAGCAGAGTTAGAAAGTGCTGGGTTGCACTGGTAAACCAGCTGCCAGTCCCGACTTTGAAACTTTGAGCTGCCTCTTCTCTTCTCACTCCGAGGGCTTTCTGGAATCCTTGCCACCCTGCCGGAATGTCTCAGGCTGAGTTTGACAAAGCTGTCGAAGAGGTTAGGAACCTCAAGACCATACCAGCTGATGATGGGCTGTTGTTCATCTACAGCCACTATAAACAAGCAACCATGGGCGACATAAACACAGAATGGCCTGAGATGTTGGGCTTCAAAAGAAAGGCCAAGTGGGATGCCTGGAATGACGTGAAAGGAACCCCCAACAAAGATGCCATGAAAGCATACATAGACAAAGTAGAAGAGCTAAAGAAGAAATATGGCATATAAGGGACTGGATGTGGATGTCACCCAAGCATTTGATCTAAACAGCTATAACACCATGTTTTTTTTTTTTTATAATATTGTGGGAGAAGTTAAGTCATAAATATAACCAGTTAACCTAGTTCCTCAAGCTCTCCAAGATACAGCTCTTAACAGATTAGGAGCAACAACGGTTACTCACCTTCTCTTCGTTGTTTTTATTTGTTGATCAATTAAAGTCAATTTGTTACTTTAAAAAAAAAAATCAGTTGGCTGTATGTAGATCGGTTAATTTCTGGATTCTCTATTCTGTTCCATTGCTCTATGTATCTTTCATTGTATCAGTACCAAGCTGTTTTGACCACTGTAGCCGTGTAATAAACTTTGAAGTCATGGAGTGAGAGGTTTCCAAACTTATTCTTCTTCTTAAGCAGTGCTTTGGTTATCCTGGGTCACATTCCTTTCCATATAAAATTTGTAATTGTTTTTTCCAATTCTTTAAAGAATGTCGTTGGAATCTGGATTGGGATTGCATTATGTGTGTAAATTGCTATGGGCAGTATTGACATTTTCACAATGTTATCTCCTATCCAGGAGCATGGTACATTCTTCCATTTTTGTAAATCTCTTTTGGTTTCTTGTAGTAGTGTTTTGTACTTTTCTTTGTATAGGTCCTTTGTTTCTCTGGTTACATTTATTCCTAGATATTTCATCCTTTGGGGCAGCTATTGTAAATGGTATTGCTTTCCTAATGTCCTTTTCAGTGCTGTCGTTTTTGGTATAGAGGAATCCAACTGATACTTGTATGTTGATCTTATATTCTGCCATTTTGCTGAATCTTCCAATGAGGTCTTGTAGCTTTTTACTGAGTCTTTGGGGTTTTCTATGTATAGGGTCATATCATCTGGAAATAGAGAGAGTTTTACTCCTTCTTTGCCAATTTGGATACCTTTAATTTCCCTGTCTTGCCATATAGCTCTTGCTAAGACTTTCAGCACAATATTGAATAGAAGTGGTGACAAAGGGAATCCTTGTCTAGTCCCTGTTCGCAGAAGGAAGGCTTTCAATTTCTTTTCATTGAGAGTAATGTAAGTTGTTGGTTTTGTATATATGCTCTTAATTGTGTTGAGGAATTTCCCTTCAGTTTCTACTTTGTTGAGTGTTTTTATCAGGAATGAATGTTGGATTTTGTTAAATGTCTTTTCTGCATCAATCGATGTGATCGTGTGGTTCTTTTCTTTTTTCTTGTTTATATGGTGGATAACATTGATAGTTTTTCTAATGTTGTACCATCCTTGTATTTCTGATATGAATCCCACTTGATCATGATGTATTATCTTTTTGATGTGCTGCTGGATTCTGTTGGCTGAGATTTTGTTGAGAGTTTTTGCATCTATGTTCATGAGGGATATTGGTCTATAATTTTCTTTCTTAGTGACGTCCTTCCCTGGTTTGGGTATGAGGGTTATGCTTGCTTCATAAAATGTATTAGGAAGTTTTCTATCCTCCTCTATCTTTTGGAATAATTTGAGTAGAATGGTGACAGCTCTTCCCTGAATGTTTGGTAGAACTCACCAGTGAAGCCATCTGAGACTGGACTGTTTTTGGTTGGGAGTTTTTTGACGACCTGATCAAATTCACCTTTTTTATGGGTCTGTTCAGGTTTTCTACTTCACTCTGTGTAAATTTAGGTAGGTCACGTTTTTCTAAGCATGTATCCATCTCTTCTAAGTTTTCAAATTTGTTGGAGTACAACGTTTCATAGTATTCTTTTATTATCCTTTTGATTTCCTTTGGTTCCATTTTGACATTGCCCATGTGGTTTCTAATGCGTATTATTTGTGTATTCTCCCTCATTTCTTTGGTAGGTTTGCCAATGGTCTGTAAATTTTGTTATTCCTTTCAAAGAACCAGCTTCTTGTCCTGTTGATTATTTCTATAGTTTTTCTATCTCACTTATTTCTGCTCTAATCTTTATTATTTCTGTTCTTTTGATGGCTGTAGGTTCCGTCAGTTGGTCTTTTTCTAATTGTTGTAGATACTGCGTTAAAGTGTTAATTTTGGTTCTTTCTTCTTTTTGGATGTGTGCGTTTACCGCAATAAATTGTCCTTTCAGCACCGCTTTTGCCGTGTCCCAAAGATTTTGGTATGTTGCATTTTCATTCTCATTTGTTTCTAGGATCTTTATGAGTTCACATTTAATTTCTTCTACTACCCAGTCGCTTTTCAGCAGGGTGTTATTCATTTCCATGTATTTGACTTGATTTCCTTGGTCTTCCTATTGTTCATTTCTAATTTCATAGCATTGTGGTCTGAGACAATGCTTTGTAGTATTTTAATATTTATAAATTTATGGAGGTTTGTTTTGTGGCCTAAGACATGGTCTATTCTGGAGAATGTTCCATATACACTGGAAAAGAATGTGTATTTTGCTGTTGTTGGATTGAATGCTCTGTACACATCTATGAGATCCAGTTGACTGATTGTGTTGTTTAGTTCCTCTGTGTCTTTGTCAAGTTTCTTTCTGGTTCTTCTATTCATTTTGAAAACAGTGTATTAAAATCGCCCATGATTATTGTAGATTTGTCTATTTATTTCTTCAACTCTATTAGAGTTTGTTTTATATATTTTGGAGCTCTTTCATTGGAAGCATAGATGTTTATTATTGTTATGTCACCTTGTTCAATTATCTCATAATCATGAGATAATGTCCATCTTTATCTATTATGCTGGGGTTTACCTCAAAGTTTATTTTATCAGAGATTAGTACTAGCACTCCTGTTTGGTTTTCATTGCAATTACTTTGGTATATTTTTTTCCGTCCTTTGACTTTTAATCTGTGTTTGTGTCTGTGTGTAAGATGTATCTCTTGCGGACAGCATATTAAAGGATCTTGTTTTCTTATCCATTCTGCCACCCTCCGTCTCTCAACTGGTGTGTTTAATCCATTTACATTCAGTGTAATTATCGATAGGTATGGATTAATTGCTGCCATTATGTGTTGGGTTTTTTTTTTGTGTGTGTGTGTGTGTGTAGTTGCTGCTTTCTTTGTTCTGTGTGTCTCCCTTTGCTGAGTTCATGCTTTTTGTGTTCTTTCTTGTGAGTTTTCTCATAGTTTTAATATTTCCATGTTTTTCTTGGATTTTCATTTTCTTGGTATATTGTGAAGTGTTAATTTTCTTTGAGGTTACCTTATATTCCATTACTTTCCCCCTCCATTTAGTGCAGTCTGTTTTACCCTGTAATTTACCTGACCTTCCCACCATCTGGATCTCTGTTCCTACGTGTTCACCTTCTTTCACATTGTACTTGTTTTGATCATAGACTGACCTCCCAGATTCTCTGAGTTGGTTCTTATAGTTTTGTTCTGTTCTCAACTCTTCCTTCTGTTGATTTACTTCTGGGAGGTGTTGCCATGTATGTCAATCTCTGGTTGTTGTCTGTTCTTGTTGGTTCTCATTCCAAAGAACTCCATTTAGAATGTTTTTTATAGCAGGGTTGGCTTTGGCAAAATCCCTTAGCTTCTGTTTATCCTAGAATGTTTTGATTACACCATCACATTTGATTGATAGCTTTGCTGGATAAATGATTCTTGGTTGACAGTTTTTTTCTTTCAGGGTTTTATATATGTCTCCCCATTGCCTTCTTCTCGTACTTCGTCCAAAGTATGAGAGATGAAGTCTTGCATCATTGCTTCTAAGTACCAATCTGGAATTATTTCTTCAAAATAGATTTGTACATTCTTCTGGTAGTCCATGGTATGTTCAATATTCTTTGCCAATGCCATAATTCAAATAAAAGTTACAGCCTTGAAACCCTATAGCACAGTTCCATTCTGTTACAGAGTCACATGACTCAAATTGAATCAAAAGCAACAGTTTTGGTATTTTTTTAGTTTTGTGAAATTCTATGTTTAAAGTTTTTAGGAATTAGCAAACTGTTTTGAACAGTGGCTACAAGAAATGGATGAGGTTTCCAATTTCACCACATGAGCATCAACATTTGTTATTTTCCATTTTCCTGAGATTTGAATTAATGACTAATGATGTTGGGCATCTTTTCATGTACTTACAAATACTATATATATGTTCTTTGATAAAATATCTATTTATTCCTTTGCCCATGTCTTTATTGCATTGTCTTTTGGTTGTTGACTTGTAAAAATACTTAAAATATTCTGGATATTAAAACTTTATCAAATGTATGGCTTCCAAAGAGTTTCTCCCATTCTTAAGGTGGTCTGTTCACTTGCCGATAAACTCCTTTGATATACAAATGTTTTTAATTTTGATGAAGTCCAACTTATGGATTTGTTTGAGCTTTTGGCATCATACCAGGAATCCATTGTTAAACATTAGGCCCAAAGGCATTACCCCTTCTGTTTTAATATAAGACTTTTATGGGTTTATTTCTCCCATTTAGACTGTTGATCCTGTTTGAGTTAACTTTTTAATATGATGTGAAGAATTAATTAAACATCATTCTTTTGGACATGGTGACTTTGTTGTCCCAGAACCACTTACTAACTTCTTCACACGGAATTTTCAGTGGATTATTTCTGGACTACCTCCATTCCTCTAACAGTTTGCCGTATTGTGGTGACTTGCGTGTTGCAGTGATTCTGGAAGCTATGCCATCACTATTTTAAGTACCAGGAGTATAACCCTTAGTAGATTGGTTTCAAATGAGTTTCCTGACTAAGACTGACTAAGAAGAAATGGAGACAGTAAAGCTTTGGGGGCCTTCATTTGCTGATAGCTATGTTTGTTTTATGCCATCAATAAGGAAATGCAAATCAAAACCACTTAACCATTTAATGAGATACCACTTAACATCTACTTGGATTGCAAACAAAGAAAAGACAAAAAATAACAAATGTTAATGTACAAGGAAAAATTAGAATGCTCATACATTGCTGGTCAGAATATAAAATAGTATAACCATTGTGGTAGTTCCTCAAAAAGCTATACATAGAATTTCCATATGATCCAGCAATTCTATTCTTAGGTATATACCCAAACAAATTGAAAACTTATATTCACATAAAAACTTGCCCACAAATGTCCATAGGCACATTGTTCATAAAAACCAAAAAAGTAGAAAGAACCCAAATGTTCATTAATTGATACATATATATACACATAAAAACTGTGGTAAATTAATATAATGAAACATTATTTTATTCAGTAATAAAAAGGAGCAAAATACTAATGCATGCTTTGCAAATTAACCTCAAAATTATGCTAAGTGAAAGATACCATACACAAAAGACACTATATTCCTTGATTACTTTTCTGTGAAATGATCAGAACAGCCAAATCTATAGAGACAGAAAGTAGATTCTTAGTTACCAAAGGCTAGTAGGAGACAGGGGAGTTGGAATTGCCAGCTAATGTGTCTGAGGTTTTTTTAGGGGTAATAATATGCTTTATTTTGTTTTGTTTTGGCTTGTGAGTTGCTGTGATTCTGAAAGCTATGCCACTGGTATTTTAAATACCAGCTGGGTCACCCATGGTGGACAGGTTTCAGATGAGCTTCCAGGCAAAGACAGACTAGGAACAAAGAGCGATGAACTACTTCCGAATATTTAGTCACTGAAAACCTTATGAATAGCAGAGAACACTGTCAGATATAGTGCCAGAAAATGAGCCCCTCAGGTTGGAAGGCATTCAAATGCGACTGGGGAAGAGCTGCCTCCTCAAAGTAGAGCTGACCATGATAACGCGAATGGAGTAAAGCCAGTGGGAGAAAAGCCCGCGGGACCTTCATATGCTGATGGGGTACAACTCAAAACAAAGAGAAACAGCTGTAAACATCCATTAATAATCAGAATATGGAATGTACAAAGTATGAATCTGGGAAAATTGTAAGTTGTCAGAAATGAAATGGTACACATAAGCATCGATATCTTAGGCATTAGTGAGCTGAAATGGACTGGTATTGGCCATTTTGAATCTGACAACCACATGGCTTACTATGCCAGGAATGACAAATTGGAAGAGGAATGGTGTTGCATTCATGGTCAAAAAGAACATATCCAGATCAGTCATGAGGTACAACGCTGTCTGTGATAGGATAATATCCGTGCGCCTACAGGAAAGCCCAGTTAATACCATTATTATTCAAATTTACGCACCAACCACTAAAGTCAGTGAGGATGAAATAGAAGAATTCTACCAACTTCTTTAATCTGACATTGATCAACCATGAAATCTAGATGTATTGACCATTATTAGTGACTAGAATGCAAAGGTTGGGAGCAAAGAAAAAGATCAGTAGTTAGAAAATATGGCCTTGGTGATAGAAATGATGCTGGAGAACACATGATAGAATTCTGCTAAACCAATGATTTGTTCATTTCAAATACCTTCTTTAGACAGCATAAGATACGACAGTACACATGGACCTCACCAGATGGAATACTCTATGTATTTCTATAATCAAATTCACTATATCTGCGGAAAGAGACAATGGAAAAGCTCCATATCATCAGTCAAAACAAGGCCAGGGGCAGACTGTGTAACAGACAATCAATTACTCATATGCGAATTCAAACTGAAGATGAAGAAAATGAAA